CCTCCTGCAGCCCATAGCACACCACTGTGATCTGCCACCACTCTCACCAGGGAGCTGTTCTCCCTACCCACTCAGAGCTCATCTGTCAGCTACAAGTCACCTCTCACCAAACACCACAATTTTACACCCCTTTTCCAAGCTGGCCTGCTCTCCTACCTGCCATGGTTTCATCTTTGTGCATGTTGTCAGCAGGCTCCATCAAGGCACTGGGTTTCTTACATGCCAGTAGAGGAGAGAAGCAGAGGAGCAATTATAATGGAATGGGAGGAAGAGGAATTGTAAGAGGAAGGACTGATGCTGAGAGGCAGGAAAAGACTATAAGCCTGATCCAATTAATTAACATAATTAATGTCATTATTTTCCTCCTCTGATTTAAGGATTCAATACAAGAATCATGCTTACTCGTAGGAGTCTCAGATAAAAGTCTGCAGATACAGAAGGCAAGATGTTTCATGGCTGTAACTGTATTCCCATAGACATCCATCATTTTACATTAACTATGAACCCTTTGGGTTCCTTCCTCTCCATTTATTTCTGCAAGGAGCTCACCTGCTTCTCCTCTCAGCTGCTGCTTTGTGTTTCTGCTTTTACTAAAGGTTTGCAAAAATTTATTTTTGTTTCTTTTATTTCTGAGGAATTTGATCCAAAAGCAAGCTACAAACAGTACCAGTCACTGTCTGCATGTAGAATACTGAGCATCAGCCTAAGGGAAACCACCTGCATGCACAAATCTAAGTACAAACTGAAATGTGATATTAAAAAATAGCCGGGAAGTTTTAATACTGGATTTTCTAAGATATTGGCAAACCCAAAGAAATTTTTAAAAAATCAAAACAAACAAAAAACTGATCACAGGTCAACCTAAAAATCTTCTGGATCAAAAGTTTCATAAAATTGCAAAGACCAACACATTTCAGGGAGCATTGGACTAGAACAGTTCCTGTCAAAACTAAACATTTGATATTAAATCGTGTTTTATGCTTTTTAAATAAATATTTCACATTTCTGAATGCAAGGCTTTTCTGAAAAAAAAAGTTTGAAATTTAAAAAGAAAATTAAAACTTGTAGATTTATTTGAATGTCTCATTATGAACTAACTGGTGCACACACAAAACAAATGAGCAAGTGTAACAGCTCAAAGCCTAGACCACTTTATGAAGCATCTTTGGGTCACACAGTTCACAGTATCAGCAGTTTTCACTAAAATTAATTCAAGATAAAAATTTCTCTCCACTCTTGTCACAAACATCACAGATGCCCGTCTACACACCAGCACAGCCAGCATGCACTCCTTCACATAAAGAAGCAAGCTGAAGACAGGGACCCTCCTGTGGATCCATTTGGGACTCCAGGGAGTGGGAGAGGAATGCTTTTGAAACTTCACTGGAGCGAGGCATCCTTTCCTCCAATTTGATCTCATGGACTAATTAGAAACTGTACAGCTATGTAGCCTGCATAGAAAGATGATTTCTCCTATGGCTGCTCATAAGACATTGACTTCAGATCTAAAGTAACAGTATACATGGCTCACTACCTGGTTTCTACCTCCTCCAACTTAGTTCTCCCTCCTGATGCAGTTTAGCAATCCATGGTGTTTTTCTGCATGTGCTCCTTTACTGTGGGATTCCCATAAACTTTTTTTATCCTTTTACATTCTGTTTCAATGAATCCTCAACTTTGTAATGGCTATGACTTCAAAAGAACTGTCCTGTTTTCATTTCAAGGCATCCACCCAACATTTGACTTTCAGTGACAGCCATAGTGCCTTGAATTGGATATTCAGACTAGGCACAGTATATGGAAACATGCTGTCATTTGCACAAAAAAGGACCGTGGATACAACTCACAAGACAAATTTCAAGGATCATTCAATATTCTTCTGGCAGGAACCATTTAAGGTAAAATCACTACTGTATCCGTGTGCTGCTTTAACTGAGCAGAGAGAGGCACAAGAAGAAGAAAACAAGAGAGAAGTTCTTCAATGAAGAGACAAAAGAGAGCACAGGGTCCCATCCCTTCCACGCTTGACATGCTCTCCTCCAACAAAGGGATACACAAAGCACTCAAGTTTTGTAACAGTGAAATAGATGCACTGGTTTAAGTTGGCTTACAACAAAATAGAGTCCTCCTATATCTTCCTGCATATGTGCACTGATTAAACTTCAGCCAGTTTATACTCCTTATACAAAACTCAGTCCTGAGAGGCAGATAACTCCAGGAAGAGAAACAAAATGTTTAGGGCTTCTGAAAATTAGACAAATGCAAACATCCAGGAATGAGGCGTTCATCATGGCCATGCTGATATACCATCCCACAAACATACAAAAAGCTGGCTGTCTTACTCCTAACCCTGCCATCAACCTTCCTTTGCTTCTCTGCCTCAGAAAGGATTCAACAAAACCCCAAACTGTAACTCTTCACCAGGCTGGAATTAAAGTAAGTTACACTATTCTGTGACGGCTGCACTGCAAGCTTTGGAAGGGACTGTAAAGAAATCCTGACAAAGTGCCTCTACTAATATTATCTCATGGACTGTGGTTATACTCAATAGCTAAACTCTGAGCAACAGCATAAACATGACCACACATTTGGAAAGGTGTTTGAGGTTTGCTCAGGATGTGTGCTGTGCTGTAATTTTGCAGATTGTTGGCTCTCCACAGTCAAAGGCAAGATTATGACATCTAGCCAAGCACAGCCTAGTTTCTCACAGAAGAAAAAAGGACTGATCTACCCATCCCCTTACCAAGCCCAAGTAATCAAAACAAAATAATCCAACATGAAGGCTCAAAGTAGTATCGGTGCTTAAAATAAAAAGAAAATGTCTCTCAGACATTCATCTGGTGGCTTTTTTTCACTTTCTTCCTAACCACCTGCTGAGACCTGAGGCTAGCATGTAACCTCAACCTACAAAAGACTGTGAAGTTGCTTTGACACTGAACAATGCATCCCTGTGGATTGAGTCCTTTCCTGGTTTTGTTACCTTTGATTTGGTGGTTCTTTTTCTGAGGGTTTTTTCCTGCTGTTCTTCTCTACAATTTTCTCATAGTGTCTTAATTTTTGCACCAAGAGGAGTTGCAACATCCTCCAGTGTTTCGATGTGCCAAAAATTGTCAGTGGATGGGAACTCTGAAATCATCCTTTTATGATGGAGCTCGTTAGAAACATGTATGCCAGCCAGGAAAATAAAAGAGAGAGAAGACCTGCAAATTCCTTCATCACTTAGACCTTGGGCTTTCCAAATAAAGAGGGAAATGTCAAGCCACTCCAAGAATATGCTCCAGTAAAAATTTTACAGTGGAAATACAAGTGGTTTTTAAACTAATTGACTATGGAGTCTGAGAGCTGACCACAATAGCCCCCATAGCGAGGTAAGCAATCCCCATGTGGAGATTGTGACAGCAGCTACATAGTTAAATGCTCATGCATTGAAGTCTCCCCGGGGTGATTGAGATTATTTTTGGCAGAAGATTGGACAGAGATTGTAAAATGTACGTTTATTTTCATTTAGCTCTTTACTTACTCTCTCTGTAACACACCCTTTTTAAATCTCTTTCCTAATACAGACATGCTTCGTATCGCAGACTTGAATATACAGCAAATATAATTCTTATTCCATACATTTACTTTACTTGCACGTTGTAAGCCACTCCACCAAAAATACTGGAAAGATACTTAGCAATTCTTGATGAGACCACATGCCATGAAAGCTGAGACTTTAGGGACATACAGCTCTGCTTGCACCAGGTACACTTGTCCTGGGACCCTGTGACAGTAAAACAACCTCCTTCCTCCCAACAGAAGACCAGCAAGAGCCTGGAATCAAAAACTCTGTGCTACGCCTTGGCATGCAATTATAAATAGGAATAAATTATAAAACCTTCTTAGAAACTGATGTCCCAGTGTGTCTTCATATAAAAGTAAATATGTACAAGTTCATCATTTAGCCAGCGAGGGGATGTGCACTGCACTAGCCAGAGCTGGCTGTGGTGCCCAACAACCTGTTTGCCTTTCCCCCTTTTCCCTGGAAGTTACACGATCTGTTACACCGAGAAATACAAAGTGTCTCCCGATCCTGTCTGAGGGTCACGTTGTAGTCACTGTATCTACACTGGGGGTACTATGTAACTGCAGCTCTCTGAGAAGTTCAGCGTGTCCTGATAGAGGCTTTTCTTTCCTAATATTCATAACAAATTTGCTTGCCACTGTGCACATATAGTAAACGTGTCCCACTCCTACCGTTCTCTCCCATCATTGGTTGCATGCACGCTGCCACCTCCCAACTTCTCTCCTATTCCTGCAGCTTCCCTCCTGACATCTCTCCTCTCTCCTCCTGTCGCTCCTTTTCTTTTGCTGTACTTCAGAGCTGACGGTGACAAACAGAGCAGCACAAAAATTCCTTTCAAAACTTAGCCTGAGAACCACTTTCTAGGTGGGAGCTCGTAACTCCATCTTTCCTAGTCCCAATAATTACTCCTCTTTTTATCTGTGTCCCTTATCTCTCTGCTTAGACAAAGCATCCTCTCCAAACTACACCTTTTCCTGTAAGCAGCCTTCACTACTCCTGGAGCATAACTCTTAACCCCTCTCCAAAACAGCCCCAAAGAAAACAATCCAGAAAACAGAGAGGCAAAATGGTCCTAGGGTATCGCTGTTAGTTTCATGCCAAACCCTTGTACGAGGACTGCCGGCATCCAGCCTCAGAGCCTCGACAGCGGCAGTTTTTCTAAAACTACAGATCGCCTATTCATTTCAGCAAACAAAATTTACTTACAATCAAGATTTATTTTCCTGTATGTCACCCACTTCGCGTATGTTTCATGCCAGTACTTTCAATCTCCATCCCCCCCCCGCCCCCCCTTTTTCCCCTACTGTTCTGAAAATAATGCTTTTCTGGTTTTAAAGCTGAAAGGGAAGGGGCAATGAAATAAGTATTAGCCTCTGGGTAGAAGACGGACTTTGCAAAATCAGGAGATGAGAGGGAAGAAAAATGAGCTCCTTACCCAGAGCGGTGACCCGGAGCAGCAGCTGTGGCAGCCGGTTCATGGCTCTGGGGACGCGGGCTGGTCCCACCCGGGTGCGCGGCTGTGCAGGGGACGAGCCGGGCTCCTGCTGCGGGCTCTGCTGGAGCTCCGAGCCCGGGCTCGGGCTCCTGCTGCCTTGGAGGAAAATTCCCACCTCCTGCTCGGGAAGGCTCGTATGGGTCCTAGAGCCACCCTCCCTTCCTTGCCTCCTCCTCCTCCTCCCGTTTTGCATACCGCTCCTGCACGATCAGCAAATTCACAAGGCAGTCGCTTCAGACGTGAACGCATCCATCTATAAATTTCCACGCATTAGTATTCACTAGGACAAGATGAATTCATAATCTTACTGGCTTGTTCCCCTCTCAGTCTTCCCTTGCAGCTGGCCCAATGACACACACGAGATTCATGCACTCCCTGGACTGAACTCAGCTCGTATTTAAGATGACAGAGAGGATCCCCACGGCCTGGAAGTGTGTTCGCTGACTTCCCTGAAAGAGAAATTGGACCTATTTGCACAACCTAGATCTCCACCTTTCTTCCCTTAGCGTCACTTATAACCACATAACTCCCGAGCAAGGCAGCCTCTCTTGGAGACACAGGGTGAAGATCTGCAGCAATGTGTAGATTCTCCACCTGAGAGTTTGGACATTTGCTCTTTAAACACTTTAAATTCCGTTTTCTTCTGGACCGTCTGCATTTCAATCGTACCAGTTCACTCCACCTTCAATTTCTTTGCAGGTGTGTCTTTCCTTCATGGGGAGTTTATTTTAAAATTGATGTTATTTTTATAACCAGAATACATTCTTTACGACCAATTCTCCAGGCAGATACTCTTACTCTGGATTAGGTGTGCTTTAGTCCAAATTAGCATAATTTATTGTGGCTGTTGTGAATTTAACAGGCAATACCCAAGTCTTGAGTAAAATACCATTGAAAATGTAGGAACTGGAGAGCTTTGGACCTGACATGAATTAAAGCCCTTATATGTCTGGTGAGCCTGGCACTTACAAGGCAGAAGCCTGCAATCCATATTTAATTGTGATTCATAGAATAGACTAAAAATTTAATTAATTTACTTAACCTTCTCTGAGTCTTCCACTGATATCTATGCAGCACTCAAGGCTAGACTTTATTTTTGTATCTCAATCATTTCTTTGGACCTACAAAATTGCTTTCTGTTCAGCAACACATTGCTACTTTCAGCAGATTTACAGAGGCATATTTTTTAACACAACCTGGATGATTTGGAAGTAAACATCATTCTGAGGCTTTCCTCTATGGCCACATCAATTACAAAAGTACGGTAGCAAGAAAGACAGATATTATTAGTTGCTTACTAGTTAAATTTATATAAACTGTCTCCCAAGCAAAGTAATAGATCAAGACCAGAAATTAAAAAAAAAAAAAAATTAAGAAAAAAGAAAAGCTGCCAGCTTTCCATCTCTTCATAAATAAATACCTTGGCTGAGGCTCCGGGATTGCAAAGCAGGTAATTTTTTAATCCCAACTGGTAAAAAGTAGAGGTACCTCAGGAAATTTCCGTACTTATGTAAACCCTCTGTGAATAGAAATATAAATAATCTGTATCTTCAAGGAAAATACTGGTAGCAGCAGCAGACACTCTTTCTGCTAATAGTCAGTTTTAAGGAAATTTGTATTTATCATGGTTTTCATTTAGTTTGGCAAAGACAGATGAATTCTGAGGCTCATTACCAAAATATGAGGCATTCTATAAAAAAGGGATAGATGCATTTTAATGCTTTTAAGCAGAAGGCAAAAGCAGAAGATAAGGTGACTAATCCTTGCCTCACTAGCCACTTTTGAGAGGTTGAGTCCTGGCTAAGCAGAGTAGACCTTGGTCTACTGGAAGGTTCATAATTAATCCTCAACAAGATAATCCACATCTGTCAAGCAAAGAATTCACCCAGACCAGACAAAACCTGTTATTCTAGGGAATCAAATATTTTAAAGATAATGGACAGGACACAGAAAAACAAATATTTCACAATGAGAAACACTAGAAGATATACAGAGTATGAAAACAATAGAAGTCAGAACAATGCCCAGCATTTGGAAGTGGGATAGGAATTACAAGCAAGTGCCATTCACCAACAGTGGGCAAGGGCTATCCTTGCACAAGAGCATGCATAGAAAACGAAAAAGCCCAACACCAACAACAAGAGAATGGCAGCAACACAACTAATGCAGAGGAAACCTCTGTAGAAGTAATTAGGAGCAATGGACAATGCTGCATCATCAGAGAGCTGAACTGCCAATCTGGAAGCAACTGGGACAATTACAAGCTTTTAAATTAGGCACTTATGCACCACAGCATTGCCAGAATCTGGACACCAGCAGCTGAAAAAACCCACTGGTCTTAAATAATGATACCATCTTTGGCTCATCAACACAGGAACAACCTACTGGAGCCCAGGAGAGGGAAGACGATGTGCTCATGCTATTCTTACATTCGTCTGAGGGCACCCATTATTGCAAACACAACACAGAAAACTAACCCGTCTCAAAAACATTTGGAACAGGGTTGCAAGACAAATTGCCACCATTCTACCAAGAAAATGCCTCAGAACTGAAGGGAGATGAGGCACTTAGCTGCTAAGCAAGCAGAGCTTCAGCAAACAAGGTTTAGCCAGTGCCACAAAAAAGGAGTTTTCACTTACATGTACACTCAGGGGACAAAAATTATAATCAGTGGGAAATATTTCTCACATAAAAGAAGAAAGCATTGATTGGTGACCGATCCAAAATGCATTTTTTCATGGGACACCAAGCAAGGCAAATGTTCGTGTAGCATCAACTTTGAGAGATACTGTTCCCTCTTGGGCTGCATGGTGCATAGAAATAAACAGCACATTTCTGATAGCATATCCAGCACAAAAGTCTGTATCATGACATTTTGATCTAATAAAAACATGAGATAAATGAAGTCAGATTTCATAAACTTTGCATGAGAAATGAGCTGTAAAACAAAAGCTAAAAAATATTCCTTATGAAGGAAATAATATCCATCAGAGCAAGGTGAAAGGGGTGATGTGGTACAGACTGGGTACACTAAGATTAAGGAGTTGAAACAAACACAAAATATGTAAAGAAATTTGTTCCCAGTCAGCCTGCCTTAGCATCCTGAATACTGGTCTATAAAACTCTTTAACAGATACAGGATTCGACTACTACAAAAACATCTGGAAACCTGAAGACATCAACCAAAGATGTCTCAGTGACAGAGATGGTATCCAAAGCACAAATCTAACTTGTCCTTGGATTCTTTTACTGAGAATATTGATAATTTTTTTAAAGTTGTATAGTCAGACTTTGAGACCAGTCACTTATCCATAAAATAAACTTGGTGTTAGCATACATAAATAAAGAAAGAAGATTTGGCTTTACTCCATAGCCATTAAAGCTTCATGTCTTCATGCGTGGAAGAACTTTGTGACCTGAAACTGATCATAAAACTCTTTACAGCCTAAGGGACCTGGAAATTCTCAGCCTAACCTTTCCCACAAACAAAAAAGCTACAAAAGTATTTTAGTTTCAAATATATGATTTCAATGTTCCATAAAAACTTAAGCAAGATCTGATGATGGTTAGACATATGATCTCTGGAGTACTTTACAAAGAAGCTATGAAGAAAATACATTCAGAACCAGATTTTATATTTGTTGCACATGCAAGCTCTTAAAGAAAAAATATCTATCTGGGGTCAGACAAAATGTGAATTTTGATTGCTACAGACATCACTGAGGGCATGCTCCTACAAAAAATGATTGGGGCTAGTGTCACAAATAACACCAGTTGCTCCAAGTGGTGCATAATAGCTAAAAGTCAGGCTTTACCTCTTAAAATGATAATAGGTTAAAAAGCGTCAAATTTAATTGTTAAATGTGACTTTGTTACAATGCAAATTAAATCCTCAGACATCAGGCAACAAAAGTATTAAAAAGGACATGCACAGAACCACTGACGGATTTAAAATCTAAAAATTGGAGCAATGAGATTTTATACCAGCCTCAGATAAACAGCAAGTTTGAGGAAATTGTTGTTATGCTTGTTGCACAGGACAGAAAGAGAGGTAAAGATGTAGGAGGTGGAAGGAGGGAAAAAAAATCCTGATGCCCTAGAGCAAAGGCAACATAGATTTTTCACTGCTGCAGGGAGAAAACAAACTTATTTGTGCCCTAGACTATCAAATTCATTACTATGTAGTAGAAAATCTAAGAAGTCGTTTGTCCATGACAGTACTATGCTTGCTGCATTTTCGAGTACCTGTGTTAGTAATGTCTGACAACAAGGCGTCCTTAATGAACATGAGATTTAGCAGTTTGCAGCCAAATATGTATGAGGCATGTCACTGTAAGTCCCCATTATTTCCAGCACAGCAGGTCAGTAGAAAGCAGTGTCAAAATAATAAAGCACCTACTAATGAAAGATGATAGAGGCCATATTCAGCCCTGTTAAATCAGAGCATGGCACCAGCAAAGCATGGCTTGTCATTTGCTGACATTTCATTCAATGGAAAATTGAAAATAAGAGTGCCTGTGCTACTAGGAATGGATGTGAAGAGCCCCTGGGGACTTGTAGCTATCTAAGGAGACAGATGAGCAAAGACAGCAATTCGAAAACAATTTGAAAGTACCTGGAGCCCATGTCATTTACCCACGACAGAAAACTCACACCTGTGAAAGCAAAACAGGCAAAACAACAGAATGGATGCCAAGACAGATCAAAAGTCACAGGAATGTGTCACACAAGTAAGGCCTCCCTGTGAGTCAGCTACTGTGTAATATTCCCAGGAAATTGCATTTTCCGAAGAGCCTGCTACATACATTTAGAGTTACTGATGCTATCTGGCAACCTATATGACCAGAACTTCCTAAGAGCCTATGGATGCAAAGGCGTTCTTCTTTCAATAGCACCTTAAGCTCATAGATACCTGAATGACTCACTGAATTTCTTGCTGACATCCCGAGTTTAAATCACAAGTCATCTCCCACAGCAATGGCTGAACCATCAGCTCTTGTAGCAACAGCACAATAAGGCATTTAGTGTTTCCTATAAGGGCCTGATGTTGTCTAATACAGAAACCAGGTATGAGGGATAGCTAGATCTCAGTGAAGCACCACAGCCACAGAGCAACTCTTCATTGATCTGTAAGGGATTCCAAGAGTGGCATGGGAATCACTAAGCAACATTTTCTTAAACTAGGAGACCACT